CCCCAAAACCCCAAAACCCCAAAACCCCAAAACCCCAACTTAATTATAAAATTGAAGATATTAAAAGACTGGAAGGTATGGTGCTGTGGTGAGGTTTAGAGAGTAGAAATGGAGGAAAGAAGGGATCTTACGAGTAGGTTAGGAAGAGGGATTATGGTATAGTTAATCTTGATTTGATGAGTGTCAGGAAGCCGCCAGGGAGAGCAGAGGTGCTTAAAAGTGTTCAGGTACCCTCTGGTTTATTATCTTATAGTCTTGGAGAGGCAAATCGTCTATTATTAGGAGGAATATTAAGCGGATAGGGCTAATTCAGTCGAAGAATAAATATCCTGTGATGAATATCGAAACTGCTAAGCATAACATTGACCGTATGTTCCAAAATTTTATGAAATTATAGTTAAAAAGTTGAAAACATTCGTCCTGGCTAGGAACAAGAAATTGAGGAAGAAGTTTACAATTGGGGATAAATCAATATTGCTTTCTCCTCATCAACGGTTTCTCAAAGGTAAAGCCTCTACCAAGTGATTTACCTCTTTGTAGACAAAGCAGTTGAGATTATTAAGAACCGTAATCCATACTTAAAATAATCGATGCTTTGCTAATTCATCGTTCAATAAGAGGTTTAAGTTTAGCAAGGTTTATAACAGTAACAAAGATTTTGCAAGAAGTAAAGTCTTTTCTACCAAAAAGCTTAGTAAAAGTAAGGCATATAAATCACTTTAGGCCAATTTGATGATCATGTCAAATCATTTTCCTTTCAAAAATATATTGAGAGTCTCAAGCAAGTGAAGAAAACCCCTAATAAAGAAACTAGCTCAAAAGTCCTCAAGAGTCAGGTAAAGAAAGCTCATTTAGACTTTATTGATGCTGAATGGAGAACTGCATATCAGAACTCTATAAACCAAATCAAGCTTGATCTCTCGGAGAAAGATGAAAGTTTATGGACTCCTTTGAGGAGAAAACAGACATTTTCAAAGAACAGCCAGAAAATCCAGAAAGTTGGCATTCAAGCTTTAGAAAATCTACAGTTCAAAACACCGATGATTGGTAAATTTAATATTTTCATAAATCCTATAGGCAGGTCATTTACATTTTCAAAATCTCCATTCAAAAATAACTTCCAGTAATCCTATTTTTACAAGCTTATACTTATTTTAATCCTTGAGCAACATTAAACCCTGTTAAAATGGTCTAAACCCCTCTATTTCCTCTCCTTTATTAAAAATAAGCAGGTTTTAGATTATTAATTCCAAAAAATCCTTTTTCAATCATAAATTTACTTAGAGGGGTTTTGGGGTTTTGGGGTTTTGGGGTTTTGGGG